GCCGGGCCGGGCCGCCTCCCCGCCCAGGCGCAGGGCGGCAGGTGTCCCGGCGCGCGGATTAAACCCAGGCTGCGAAAACTAAGGAGTTTGAGCAAGAGCCTCTTTCTGTTGAAAAAAGCAGGCGGCGGCGCCAGGCGAGGCAGCCGCTTCACTTCACCCACCGGCTGAGCCGCCATCCCCCAGCCCTTTGCAGCCGCGGCTCGGCCTCCGTCCCAGGGCAGGCGCCGGGGGAGCCGGCAGGAAATTCTCCAAGCAAGGACTGCAAGATCTGGGGTGACTGACCTTTTTTTCCTTTTTTTTTTTGTTTGTTTGTTTGTTTGTTTGTTTGTACTACGGGCAGTTTCAGGCTTCCCAAGCTGTAGAGACCATGTCACTGAAAGCAAAAGATCCCCTGAAGACTGTGGAGCTATTGGCAGGAGCATCTCAGGAACGTCAGCTCTTTTATTTGTTTCTTCAATAGGCTACTTTGACAGCTTGGTCTCAGTTCCCCAGACTGCCACATGTCACTGAGATACACTGAGCTCTGAAGCTTGAACATACAAATTTAATCTTACCCCTGTATTTGGCCCTGGTGAGGCCTCAATGACTGTGTTCAGTTTTGGGCCCCTCACTACAAAAAGGACATTGAATGACTCGAGCGTGTCCAGAGAAGGGCAATGGAGCTGGTGCAGGGTCTGGAGCACAGGTCGTACGGGGAGCGGCTGAGGGAACTGGGGGTGTTCAGTCTGGAGAAGAGGAGGCTGAGGGGAGACCTCATCGTCCTCTACAGCTACCTGAAAGGAGGTTGCAGAGAGCTGGGGATGAGTCTCTTTACAGTCATTCAAATATTCAGTGATTGATGTGAATCAGAATTTAGAAAAAACATGTTATAATAAAGCTGACTGAATATCAACTGAAATGACTGGATTTGACAAGACAGCAAAATACACAGAACATGGCAGTCATAAGATCGCAAGAAAGAGCAGAGACATGGATTGTCCACGGAAATCGGACATTGATGTCAGCCTGAATGAATATTTGATGTGGTCACCAAGAAGACTTCAAAGCAGACCAAAAATCACCAGCTCCAGCAATGAAGGTGATGCTAAGCAAAGAGTTTTCCAAACACCCTCCTGATCGGATCTGTGTAGTGGAATTTACCTTTTTTTAATCTGTACAAATGTTCAGAAATATTTTGTCTCATAAAGGTCCAAGACAGAATGATGTGTTGTAATTAACACAGGGAGGGCTCTAAAACAACTTATCAGTGCTAGTGTTGAAACTGGATTGCAGCAGACTGATGATCATGACATGGCTTATTTTTCTGCAACTGATGAGGTGTTGAAAGAAGGCTACATCTGTGCAGATGAAGCAACCGGACTTAGGGGTAGCATTTGGTATGTTGCATTTTTCCAAAATATTGTATTTGCTGAATAAGGTATCTCTGTGAAGTCCTTTTTCTGATGGATGGCCCCATGCATCTGCTTTATTCATTTGATAAATGTTATATATCCAATAAAGGGAGAAAGGTACCTGCAATAAACAATTCAATCCTTTTGAGTTAGAAAAAAATCAGACAGAGTATTTACTTAGGTAGGGATGGGATGAAAGGTACTTGGGATGAATTTAGACCATTGCTTTTAATTACCACAAACTTGGTTTTCTGCATCCTTCAGTAGTTTTTTATAAGATCACCCATATTCCCCAATTTATAATATTGATGACTTTCCCGTTTTACATGTAATCATTTCCTTCAGGTATATGTGTGTGGCTTCATTAGCATTTTCTTTTGGAGCAGGAACATGAGGCTCATCTGCCTCTCAACTCCACCCTCCCACCCCCCACCCCCCACTGTGTATCACCAAACAATCCTGGAACTCATGAAACAAATACTTTTCAGAAGAGGAAGACAAGCTCCAGCCACTTGGGCATGCTGTCAGCAGTACCTGACAGAGTTCGTCTGAAGTAAAGTCTCTTGAAACATGCATTGTGTGGATACCAGGTCCTCCACACCAGCTAACTTAACCCACAAAAATCAGGGCAAGCATTGCCCTAATTTCTTTTTAGGACAAGTGACAATAACAAGCAAACATAATCGCTACTTCTATAAAGGAAATGATAGAATTCAGTAATCTTGTGTGTCACCTGCTCCTGGTTAATCATCCCTTCTACGTGAAAAGAGACTATAGTCACAGTGTGTTTCTAAGACATCCGGAAGTATATTTAGGGCAAAACTATGTGGTTTGTAGCCACAATCTTATTTTCTGGTTTTGGCTGCAATACATATTGATTGTATATCTTTCTCATCTGAAACTGAACAGGGCAAATAAAACCCTAACAAAATTTTAAAGTCCTTTATGTATACTTTTCTGCCATTTCTACTCTAATTTTTGTTGCACAAGATGTCTTCATTAAAGTTATTGAGAATATTGTTGTACGTACAAAACTTATAAAGCTACAAGAAAAAATATCAAGAAATGTAATTACAGGTGATTAGTTAGATACAGTTAAAGCTGCATAAACCAGTCTGTTTTGGTACTTATCATCCCTAACCAGAATATTAGGAATGTCAAGGCCATCTAAATTGCTTGCAGTGCTGAGAATGTGTAATTCCATTTTATTGAGCAATCCCACTTCTGGTTTCAACACTGAGTTTAGCATTTACATCTTGCAGACATCCATCTTACAGGGATTTCTCTGGACTTGTAAGTGTGGTAATCTAACATCTTGCTGTTACAAATTATTCACCGGTAGAGCATAGGAAGTAATTTGTACTTCTGGAAGGTTTCTAGTAGAAGGCACACTTGTCATGGCAAAATCTATCCATCTTTCCCTCAAAGGAAATGATTCGTTGGTTTTTGCACTTCCAACAAATTTACTTTCTCTTGCTTGACCTGCATGTTGGAAGGCTTAAAATTCAGCTGGGGGAATCTGTCTTGGCAAGAAACATTAGAGGAATGGGACACAGGACTGACTGGTAAACAAAGATCTGTTCTGAAGGTCATAACCACAAGCACTGGCAGAAGTCAGATGGAGTGTAGTTTCACTAGGTAAATTAACACATTTAATATAATGTTCTTTAGGTATGACAATGACCAGTGAAATAGGAATTCAGTGCAATCAGAATGAGCCACTATGGCAACTGTGGGAGGGCAGCAAGACTGATAGAAATAAAGATATGATCCGGGAAATTACAATACCTAAGAAGAAAGGAAAATTCTTAAGTTTTCAGCATATTTCATTCATGGAGGCCAAGCAGTTTCTGTCCTAAATTCCAGAGTAACTGGTGTATGAAGTTGCAGGCCCATTAGCTATAATCTTGAAGCACGGCAAGAGCCATTGCAAGAGGTAATATCTTTCTTTGGGCCATCTAAAATAGTTCAAGGAACAGACAAGCTTTTCTGCAGAAAAAGACCCTAACATTCTACATTGTATATATTATACAATTGTAGAACAGAAATTCTTCTATTGAGGAAGAAATATTCAAAACCAATCAAACTGTAAGTGGCAGGGTATGCAAGAACTTTTGATCCAGAAAGGTTAAAATAAGAGTGAAAAATGGAAATGGAAAATTATAAACTAATGTTGCGGCATTCCGTTACATCACATTAGTCTGTTGTTTTGTTTCAGTATGCTTATCGCCTTCATCTTGGAAACCGACTATCATGGCAGAGCAGAGAAAGCCGAGTTATATTGCAAAACCAGAATTGCAAGACGGACTGGGAAGCCAGCTCATGAGGGATGACAGCAGATGCTTGAAAAGGGAAGTCAAGGTGTGGCAGTAGTTATTGTCATGGAGGGAACTCACCAGGGGATTGGCCATTACCTTCATATCTATGTTTTCATCATTACAACGTGATCTTCAGTACAAGCAAAGGAACAGAGCATTTCGGTTCACTTACTGGGAAAAAAAAAAAAAAAGTCTTAGGAACAAGTGCTTGGTACAACTTAAATTCTTTCTATACTTATTATTTTAGTTCTACTTAATTATTTGATACGTCTTAAATTTTTCTGGTTCTCATTAATATCCCTTCTAGAAGTTCAGTTGTCCAAGTATCCACATAAATTGTGGTTTGTTGGAAAAAAATCCACAACACTGGAACTGTAATAATATTTATGCTGGTAGCCTCGGTAGAGCAGAGATTGCTCAGGGAAGGAACAACATCCAGAGGTCCTGCGTGCATAAAGCAATAGTTGAATCTCAAAAGAGGGACTGAAAAAAGAAGCACCAGCAAAACTACAGAATGGGTCTTTGCTGCTTATTCCTTTGGGATCAGCAGGAATTGGGGGTGGTAACCTTAACTCAATGTTAAATCAAATGTTGGCACTGGAACTTCTCATATTTCAGCCTCTCAAAGTGCTGGCGGTTCATCACCTGTATGCATGTTGGGACTATGTTGGGAGGAAACATGGGCAAAGCATGCTTATGACTCCCTTTTAGCTGCAGACAGGGTTTTCTTCTAGGGAAATCCACAGAGCTGGTTTGAATCCACATTACATCCTGGTGTGGTGTCAGGATACAGCTGTGGTATGTACCTAGGCTCAACAGCACTGAAGAACTAACACATCCTGTAATACAGCTATAGCCCTTGACAGCTCTCAAAGGTTTTATTTACACTTCTGCTTGTCCCCAGAAGACTTACTTGCCTAGACTTGCATTTCTTCCACTCCTGAGGCAATGAAGGTGCTGTGCTGTGCTAGAAAGGTCTCCAAACTGCCCACGTTCACACTCTACAGTCTGATGAACTGCCTCATACTGCGACCTGCCTAATACTCGGCACACTCGCCTTCCAAGAACATAACACGTGTTGATAGAACTTCCAGGCCAGTGATTTTCACCTCAAATTTTCACTCTCCACTCATAACCAATATAATTTGAGTAGGAAAAAGTATCTGCTGACAAGAGCACCAAATAAAGAGTAACTGGGTAACGGCTGGGTTCCTGGGCTCTGAATCTGAAAGTGGATATGCTTCTAAACACAGAAAACACAAAACTCTTAACAGATTGTTAATAATTCTGTTAAGACTTCTTGTTTTAGAAAGGGTTACTATAACTGAAGAAAACAGTTTTCTTGGTTGTTTCAATTTAACATTCCTCAGGAATACAGAGAATCATCATGTCAAACTTTTGGATTTAGATAAAGAAATAACAGAAAATCCATAGAATCACATGACTTTGTTACACAATAGACTGAAAAGTAGACTAATAACTTTTACATAGAAGTTATATTGTTTTCCCAAGCAATTATATGTGATTTGCATAAGTAATTCCCTCAATTCCTTTTACAGTCCTATCAGTTAGTACAAGATGCTCTCTTAATCTAAGAAACCTTCTGTCTTTAAGCGGATTACATTCCTAAATTCATTAATAATTATTAAAACATGGACAGATAACACAAATAAAGAATTAAAAATCTATAATATTCTCAAGAATGCAGAAAATAATTTTGCTGGTAACAGTATAATTCCTTTCACATTAAGATATCTCAGAAAACTTTTTTTCTTTATTTTTTCACTTTGCATATCACAGATAACTGCTGGGTTTGCCTACGATGTGCTGACAAGCCTGCTACAAACTGCAAAGCCAGAAGCAGTCCATCAAGACAAGGCATGTGGGAAAGGGTAGTGGAGCTCGCTGATGTGCCCCAGATGCACTGAGCAGCCTTCGCTTCTAGAGCCATTCTAGCCAAGGGAAGTATCACTTTATCATCCACATTTGTGTGGATACATGTACAGAAAACTAAGTTGTCCTTTCCAAATGTTATCTAAAAAGTGAAGAGAGGCAGAGAAAATAACTAAGCATATCAAAACAACCAGATACAACACCTTGATATACAAAGTCCTGTTACATAAATAACACCTTTATCTTTTACAGCAGGATGTATTTACTATTTAAGCAGAAGCTGAAAAGAAAATGTTTCAATTTAATCACAGTGCATTTAAATAATTAACAATATTTTAGTTAGACTACTCTTTATAAAAAAAATCATATGATTATTCATTTCCCCTTCTGTCCCCATTTCGAGTTCTTAAACTAAATATTTTTTTTAAATTAAAAATTAAGTAGGGGAAGTCATAGTAACGTCTTACACCCTATATTGGTGAAAGGGCAAAGTATTCTTTCTCATCTCTGAAACAGTACTGATAAGGACACACAATATTCAAGCTTGTCAGTGTTGGTATCACTTGATCATAATAAAGTCCATTATGATAACAGAAGCTAGCAGTATTTTTTAAGTACTACAACATTTAAACATATTTTGTTCCAGCTTGTCATGTCATAAATATAAAACCATTGAGAAAGCATTCTGGGATGTCACAGTTAAGTTATTCCATCCTTATTTTCTAAATATTATCTTGTCATTAATTTCTCATGAAATCAGTGCACAAGGTTAGGGAAGTAGCAATGCATTCAAAAGCAAATTGCCTCCTGTATGATGTACCAACACAAGACAAGCAATCACATAAAAAATAATTACCATTCCTGCCATCCTCCCCTCCCTCACATCTTCATTTTTCTCATTTCACTACCTTTTCTTTTTTTTTTTTTTTTATCATGTGAGAAACTTCAGACAAAATAAGAAAAATAGGATCAGGTATAACTTGGGACAAACGACTCATACTGAATAACTGAATCCTGCAATGAAACCACTCCGCAGAGCAGACAAGTTCAGAAATAGTGCAGCACTCTCCTCTGTACAGCTCTGCATTGATGCACTGGAGCCCCTATGCAGGCTGCATAAACCTTTGCAAGACTTGAGCTGGCAGGTGGCCAGGACAAGCTCACCAGGCTGCTTGTCCTTGCTGGTCTGTCAGTTGGAGCCTATGGTCCCCTGCATCAGTAGAACAATGGTCTTCTGATGAGATATTGAGATGGTAGGTTTGGTTTTGTTTTCTCACATTTAGAACAAAATTCAAATCAGAGAGAAAAAGAGACATTCCTTCCTGCGTGACACTTGCACAAGTTCCCTAGTCTGCACCTGCAAGAACAAACCAAACCAGTTTATCACAGGGATGCGCTCTGGACTGACTCCCTCTCATCACAGGCATTTGGCTTCTACTTCTGTGCCAAGTCAAGCTAAAGCTCATTTAATGAAGAGTCACTTCACTACCTACCTGTCAGGACTCCAAATGGGCTGGCAGCTCCCTCCCAGCCAGGGTCTGTCCCAGTGTCCCCAGCAAGGAAGCAAGGTCCTCCTGGGCCCAAGGTGAGGTTGATAAGGGCCAGTAAGGCTTATTAGCACGCTCAGGGCTCTGATGTTTATATACAATCAGTAAGAAGAGACTGCCTATTCTCTGGAAACAGTAAACATGAATTATGCAAGGCCTTCTTCAAATCATCTCTATATGTATTTTTAGAGAGTGCAAGATCCATTTCATGGGAACAAAACCAAACAAGAATTTTTAAAAAAGCAAGCAGAAAACTACAGAAAAAAAATATCTAGCTGCTGAAGATTGTCTTTAATACTCTTGCAAGACAAACAAACAATGAATGCACACAATCCAAAATATAATAAACAAAACTTGTAAATTTTACATCATAAGCATTGTAACCGCTTTTTAAAATCCTACTCCTGAGTTCATTTTGCATGCAGAAATTAGACTGATTCTCTGGATGTCTGCTTTAGTGTCTGCCTGAAGTCAACTGTTCTTTTTTTTCACCCCACTTTCTTTCTCTTGCTTCATCCAGAGGCTTCAGGTTTGGTTAATTTGCTTCCCTTTAAGTTCATTACCAGTGAGGACATCCAAGAACTAAATTAGCTTTACTCACCTCACATGGACATCTTTATTCTCCTTACTGAATAGAAAGCTTCGCTGGCAACGGCTTTGTGGACAGGACTAAGCTAATGTGGAAGACCTGAAAAGCTCACATGGGAGGGATTTGTCACAGTACTGGCCAGATTCCTACTGTTCCTCTAGTCCAGGCAGGAAACCTGCTGGTCAAGCTGGCTTCAGCTCTCAATAAACCATGCTGAGTCCAGTTAGCAGGGAACAGTGATTTTCTCTGACTTGACTCTGCCCACCACAATCTTTTAATCTCTAAGTACACAGACTTAGTTCAAAGGTGCTGTAGCTTGGAAGAGGGGGGGAACAAAGAGCACCTTAGCAGAAGCAAGTCATCGACCACCCCCTATTTAAAAAGTATTTGCACTGTGCTGCCATTAGCTTGAAAGTGATGCTTATAGTGGTCACCTTCCTAAGGGAAGCAACAAATGCATGAGACCTTCAAACACACATTACTTTACAGCCTGAACCCTTGCCTGGGTTTTTAGATGGGTGTATACTATAGATTAGGCCTAATAAAAATCAAAAGTATTATCAGTGTGGGTCTTGAAAATATTTCATGTGAGAAATTTCACATGAAAATGATGATACAGTCTAAATATAAAATTAGACTTACTGCTACTGGTTACACAGTAGTAAAGTTCTTGGATTCTGAAAAACAACTACTGTGAGAGTTACACAGGTGTATAAAAGCTCATTTCAGAAGAAATCCTGTAACAGCTTCCTTATCTGCTTATCTATCTTGCATGAAAAAACAAGCCCAGGATTAAACTAGCAGGTAAACAGCTGGCATTACTTGTACTAGAAAAAGTGTCAGAAATGGTATTCATCAACAGCTTTCAAGAAGTTCAAAAAAATCAGAATGCAAAAAGTACAGACCAAATTTAAAACTACTACTTTGATAAGCTCCTTTTATCTATTAGGATGGAAAAGTACTCTGTAAACTCTTTGCTAAACACATTAGCCCCTCTGAAAGCAACATGAGGTCTCATGCAAGACTAGCCCCTGCAGCCCCACTGCCATGGCTCTGGCTTTCAGGGAGCAGATTAGAGAGTCAGGCCTTGCCCATGGAGACATGTAGAGATGGCTGCCTCTCCACCACTGCTGAGAAGCCTCTCATATTTCCTCTGTTTGATATCTCCAGCATTTCCCCAGCTCTTGAGGAGGTGCAGCAGAAGGTTGCTCAGTGGGGCACTGCTGGGGACCATGCTGGTCTCTGAGAGCAAGGCAGCAGCCTTGGGGCTGCTCTAGCTTCACTCCACTGCAAGCTGAGTACAGGACAGAGCAGAACCAAGCTCACAGCTGCTGTTTGCCCAGGTGGTGTGAGGTGGTTAGTGCTAATGCTGTGCCAAGACCAGACTAACACAGTGGTTAACGAAACCCCTTCCACACACACACATTCAGCAGCCTGAATGAAGATCTAATAGAGCAGTCTTGCTTAAGACACTTCAAGTCTAGACTGCTGCTTGCCACTGCTCATTCTCAGCATGCTTTAGTGGAAGAATAAGGAAGAAAACCAGCAGTGCTATAAGAAAAAATATGTAGTGCCTTTATTGAATAAAAAAATGGATCTTTTTTCAAAGTGCCTTTACATAACACACATGAAAACTTTAGCATCATTTGTATAAATATATCAAAAGTAACAATTAGGGTTTTTTTTAAAAAAAAACGTATTTTGGCTCAGTAAAGTAACTTTCCTATCCCTAAATGTAGGGATCACAAGTAGCAGTTTTTCATTCAATCTATTCCAATCGGCAAAAATAACTCAGGAGGCCCAAGGTTGCTGGAACTCTGTTGGCTGGCCTGCATACTGCAAGCTGTCAAGGTGGAAGCACAAAGTCAGTATTATACCCTAGTCCTCAGAGTACAAATACCATACTTCCAGTGTCTAGTCTTCACATTTGATATAGGAATCTTCTTACAGAAGAGTTCTGTGACCAAACCATACTGCTTCTGTCCTACCAAATTCTATTGATGCGAACTGTAACAATTAGCCTTGCTCAGATGGATCTCAGTAACTTCAGATGGATCTCAAGGCTCTTTGAACCTACAAGCTGCCACTGAACACACACCATATTTAAAAGCGAACTGTGTGCAACAGCTAAGTGAATGTGGCACTTCATGACCAGAACTGATGCTCCCTTGACACTGCTGTCTTAAGCACAGAATGAGAACAGAATATAAGAATGTACATTGATCTATACATACATGACATTCATCAATAAAACACTCCAGTACCATGACAGTTTGAAATAGTTTGATGTTTCAAATGCACTTTTTCCCCTCCTATCCCAAAATGAAGAGATTCTTATTCCATTCTGGCCAAACACACACTCAATTCACAAAGCTCATAAGGCACTGTCTCTAAGAAGCAGAGGTTCAAGTTTCCAGCATACACTGAAGTAACCAGAGCACTTTAAGAACCTATTTCCACCAGTTTTGTCACTTATCAGGCAGAACACCAGGCTCATACCATCCCATGTTCACTGGGAAGTTCTTCTGTAGGATGGCATCTCACACTGTCAGTTTTGTTTGGTTGAGGATGGAGGCATAAGAAGATAAATGCTTGAGCCATGAAAAAAGAACAAGCCAACACTACAGTGTCAAAATGGGTAGACAAATTCTGAAGGATGCAGAACATGAGCATTTTCAGATGAACAAGTAGAAATATCAAAGGACCAACTCAAAGGGAAAATTTCCACCTAATACTGTGTTAGCAACAGCCTTCAAGGATATCTTGGAGAGTGATGCAGTACAACAGTAAGTTGCTTGTTCCAAGATACGGGAGCTGCAAGGGAAAAGACAGGCTGGAGTTTGAATGAGAGGAGAGCAAAGGGTGCTGCAAGAGAGAGAAGCTGACAGGACACCCATAAGAATGCAGAGTTGCAAGCAACAGTTAAAGACACTAGCAGTCAAATCCTGAAGCTTCCATTCACAACTAGATCTCCTAACTTAAAAATGTAACCTTCAAGGACAGACTGAAAAGCACAGACAAAGTGGCTCTCACACCTCCCGCTCCTATAAAATTCATAGCAATAAAGATGTCATTAAACCAGATTTGATATTTTTTAAAATCAATCAAATCAATTTCCTCCCCCAAAAAAGAAGTGATCATTACAAACTACATCACTGCCTACACATGAGTCAAATATAAGTTCAGAGTTAACAATGATGGCATACATAATACTGTTAAAAAAAAAAAAGGAAATAAAGGGCTCAACACACAGAGTATGTTTTACCAAGCTCCTTTCCCAACAAGATGTTTGGAAGCTACTCATCCAGCCTCAACTCATCCAGCCTCAGCCAAATTCAGTACAGTCAACCTCAGATTCCTTACATCATCAGGGCAGAGGGAAAGGAGAAAAGCAAGCAGCTGCAGGGGGTAATGCAGGGCATCTCACTCTCTCACTTTAAGGAGCACTGGACAATAATGCTGTTTTAGCTCTGTTTTCCATATCTGGAGCCAAAAAGCATGGTCCCACCACCCCTTTTCTTCTTACATTGCATTCTGAACCCTCCAGGAACCCCATAAACTCATTAACCTGGAAGAAAACTATCCCAAGGGAAAGACAATTTCTGCCACATTAGTCTGTTCAGCGAGCTTCAGCTTTCAGAGCTGACAGATGCTAGAGCCAGCATCCTGGCTGGGAACAGGAAGGACGACCTGCTCTTCTTCAGCAACAGCAGCCCATGAGAAGTGGGTGCCCTGAAGCCCTTTGATCTGGTCCTTAAGGTAAGGCAGATGAAGCCAGCCATCATGTACTCCCCATGAGAGAGTCTGTGTCATTAGCTAATTGTTCCACTTGAGAAAACTAAGAACAAATACATTCAGCCACTTAATTGGGAAAAAAAAAATCCTCTGGAGATTAATTTTGTGACTCGGTACAGCATTACAATGGTATTTTTACAATGTCTGCAGGGGACAAGTGACTAAAAATGGTACAGTTCTTTAGAATGCAAAAAAGGTCAGGGAAAAGTTTATGCTTTCTCAGGTTCAATAGCACTTTTGTGGGGCTGGGGTTGTCCTTTACCTTTCCTCTTGGATGATAACACACTGATGCAGTTAACACAGGGGATTTATCTTTCAGCAAACTGGACAAGGCAAATAACAAACTTGTAACAAAAGAAAAGTTTTGTGTCATTTCATTAAAAAAATGAAACAAAAACATTTACTGGCATCAACCATGCCCATGACATAGTATCACAATTATAATTCATATAGTTCCCTTCATATTCAACCTTTAATTGCAAGAAATTAGTTTTCGGGGGGTTTTGACAGTTTTCCCCTTCCATTTTTAATACCAAAAGAATTCCATCAAATCACAGTGCAATTCCTGGAAAAGGCCTCATGTACTTCCTATGTGGTTTCCATGTCATCAATGTGCTGCTGACAGCATTTCATGATGTTCTGTCGAACTGGCTTGAAGAAAAAATTATTCATATCTGTAGATGAAGTTGTAGTACCTTCAATCCAGAAAATTTGGACAAGATTGTCTGCACAAAACAGATACATGTAACCTTCAATCAAGCCATCACCAACTATGTGAACTGAATTAGCCATTGAGTGTCATTTTTCTTTGGTTATTTAGGGAGAATTAAGGTTTTTTGGTAACAAATGCAATGCTGATGAAGATCCATTTTTTCTGGATGGCATGTGGTAGCGCACTTTCTTCCAGAATCTGGTACTTGCTGAGTGAGACCTTTCTGAGAAGTCCCCTTTCCATCGGATAACCCCATGCTTTTGCTTAACATATTTGATGGATTCTGGCATGGCAGCATAATCTTGTATTTTTTCAAGTTCAATGAGAATTACTTTAATGCCATCTTGGATAAGAGCATTATACAAGGCTAGCTGCTTTTCAGACACGTCTTCTAGAATACTGTAACAGGAAGGTTCTGGTACCAAAACAATTATCACTCTTCTACTTTGACGGATTTTTTCATCAGCAATGCTGATCACAGCTGTAGAGAAAAAGGTTGGGCAAAATTAAGGCTGTATGTTTCTAGTTTTTGTTACCAACATGTTTGCAGCTGGTTCACTCACTGTTTGATACTTGAGCCAATACACTTTAGCTCACAAAAAGGAACAGGGTAAGAGCATACAAGCAGTTACATTGGATTAGCCAACAAGTTGAGATTTGGCCAATGCAACACAATCTGACCCCATCAGACTGCATGTCTATATTTTTGTGTTGCATAAACAGAAAAGACCTATCAAGTTATCTCTCTAATCCCATTTTATTAATGTCAAAGGTGCAATTGCAAAAAAACAAGTTCCAAAAATATAGGCCTAGATAAAACTATGGCCTTTTTCCTTACACTGCTTGTTCTGATATGCTCAACTGGGTTTTGTTACATAGAAGCAGAAGACAAAGCAAAGAATCTTCCCTTCAGTGGCATTCCAGACAATTAATTCTAAAACAGCTAAATATGGTAAATACCACAAAAAAAACCCATACAGGTTAACCCTGAAAACAGATTATTGCATTTTTTCAAGCTAGAAGAATAAAGCAGCACTTCAGATTCTACTTTTCAGGGAACCCTTCCTTCTCAAACCACTACCAAAAGCCTTCAGATGTAAAAAAGTGATTCATGAACCACCTCACATAGGTTTATTTCACATCCAATTGTTTTTTTAAAACAAAAACTTCTATTTAAGGCCTGCTCTGCAAATTTATTCAGTATCAATATTATCTTTTTAAAATCATAGGACCAGGAAGGATTGAGAAGACTTTTACCATTTCACTTCATATAAGCAATCAGTGGGACAGACTTTGCCATTTTCAGTGTCGGATGCTAGAAACTTAAATTTAATGTATATATGCACACAGAGAAAACCTTCACAATGATTTCAAAGCCTTGCAAGGAAGGCAATGCTTTATATGAACTTCCACCATGGACAAGCAGTTTTTGATACAGCCAGTTGTTCCTGATAACTTAGTATTGCTCTGTGTTCTTTTTTTTTCCACCTGCACTGTCTAACCCTTTATAGCATCCCACTGGTTTGACAGCAATCCTCAGAGAAAACAAGTGAAACAGTAGAGAAGCCATCCTGTCAAATGGCACCTCAAAGCAACAGGCTCTTTCCACACCACTCACGAGACCTACTTTTCCATGTTTCCTGACACTATCCATCATTCACAGCCACAATTTCAACACCTCTTCCCCCCATCTTCCTTCCATCTCCAGATGTCTAGGCTAGCCAGACACTGAAACAACCTGAAGAGATACAAATGACAAGGGAAAGGCTGAGATAAACAGACTTCATGGGAGCACCCAGTGCTGTATTTCTCATTCTCCATCAGAGAGAACAAGAAAATCATAACTCATTAGATGGTGGAAGATATTTAGAATCAGATCTGAATAAATGCCTGTTTCTGAGTTGTATTTGCAGCTGCCAATGAGAAAACTCAAGTGTAATTTGTCTTCAGATAGCTTACCTTCTCCTGGTAAATCATCCCTCCCAAATATGAAAAGGTTATATCCACACTGTCCTTCTAAGACCTCTGGCAGTATCTTCAGGGCAAAAACATCTGATGAATACAAGCAGCTCTCTCTGTTTTTTGGATACAGAACGTAAGCATCATAGATCTTTCCATCTGAAACTAAAAGTGAGCAACAGGACTAATATAAAAATAGATTCTAAAGACACAAAAGCAAGCAAGCAAACAAATTTAAAAAAATTTTCTAAATTCTGTTTGTTCCCCACTTGAATCATTTTTAGGTCCTAATCCTGCTACCATCTAAGCATCTATAATTACACTAAGCCTGAAATATTTGTACAATCAGGCCTTCTAGAATTCAGTATGCTGGATCTGAATAGGCAAAAAAACCCTACAAAATTAAGTAAGGTTGAATGTTCTTTTTTGAACTCTAAATAAAAAAATGTTATCACTGAATTATCTGGAAAATAGTGGTTCCAGTAGTACAACTGACTACTTAAAATTCCAGCTGCCATATAATGCATAGGTCATTTTTGCAATCTGGAGTTTCAAAACACAGCAACCACTTAGACATGAAAACAAAAACTAAGTATATGACAAATTTCAAGGTCTGAATTGTATTAGATATTTTGGAACAAACTTCTCAGAAAAACTAAATTTAAGAGACTTCACAAAAAATCTAACAGAACCTCAATACCTCTAGAAGATATTTTCTGTTTCTCTAGCCAGGCACCAACTCTCAGTTGTTTGGAAGCGACCCATACTTCAGCATACTCTCATAGACAGCACCCCTATCAACATTTTTCTGAATGCCAGGAATTTGCAGAAAGTAAAATAATCAGAAGTGCCTTCAAATAGAAAACAAAAGAAGTGAAATTTGTCCTGTTTTGGCTATAGAAAATAAAAAACACCCAACAATTCCACTGTATTACTGCTTTCTGTAAGAACAGTAATTAAAAGAAATTTGAACAACTCCTGTCAGAACAGCATTCAAACCACTGAAGTGGATCTTCAGGGAAAGGAATAATAGTACTGGATTCCTTGAAAGTTGCTGTTTTTTCCCCCCTGTAGATACTTTTGTTATCTGAACTAATTCTAAACATCTTAAAAACATGTTACCCTTTCAAAAATCCCAAGACCAATCACACTTTATAAGGTTAACTCATTGCTTTGCACGAGAAGGTGGATGCTCATTATGACACGTGGTACTGTTACATAAACATACCTTTTTTACCCAGGAAAGGATAGCAGGAGTCCCGATACCAAAGTACAATATCAATTTTGAAGATCTTGTAGATAAAGAGAGTGAAAAATACTAAAAAAACCAAAGAAACTCCTCCTCCAATTAAGTAACCCTGAATGTTCCGAGCTGCATAGAATGGAGTAAGATGAGAAAAAACAAAGAAAGCAGTTACACACTAGAACCAGAGAAAGACAAAAGACATGTTAAAAAATTGTTTAGTCATTAAAATATTTTTTTTAAAAAGGATTGAATGAATGAATATCAGAAAGTTTTTCATGTATGCTTTCTGCAAATACTGTTACTTGACAAGCCTAGTTCTACCTTTCAGAGGAAAAGATACCTTGGCAATGTGACAAATGAGGCACTCTTCAGCTGAAACACCAAAATATTGACATATATCCCAGTGCAGTAGCAGAGTGAGAATTCTTGCAGAAGATTTTGTCAGTCAGCAAGAAAGTTAGTGGGGAGGCGATTTCCTGACCATGCTGTTCTACCCAGACCAACCAGCTTTCCATTGTCTCTAGCCTTTTGGAAAATCTGTCATTGAACCTACTCATTTGTTGTCCTCAATGCATTTGTTGTCCTTAAAACAAACACACACCCTCCCCAAACTGCAGCTTTTAGTTCATGTATATTAAAGGATTTCTGAAGTTAAATCCTACCCTGACAATATTTATGAAGAACTTATGTAACAAACTAGAGCTCAGATCCACCTTCAGTCAATTATTTGTTTACAATGTGGCCAGTTAAAGGTAAGTTTGAGAATATTTGTCAAAGGATTGGCGGTTGACAAAGCCAACTCATACAAGCCTCTGAGGCTCTTCTGCAGGTAAATTTTTTTAAAATGGGCACATTATATTTGTTGATTTGTGTATCTGGTATCTTGTGTATCTGTCTTTTCTGTGTATCTGATTTTTTTTTCTTCAACCTTGCATCTGAGTTTTTAAAGCTCACCTTTACCTTTAAGTTCATCTCCTAAAGAAAGAATTTCATGCTAACCAGCAACAGGTCAAATTTATCTGTGCCTCTAGGCACAAGACTGGTGTCTCAAACAAGTGGCACGATGCTTCCTATCACCATGCATGAGCCTATGGAGACAGTGATAACACAGCACATGCATCCGTAATGAAAAGTCCATAACCTTTCCAAGTAATCTATTTTATTCCCTCACTATCATTATTGTTAGTATTTCTCCTAACTATATAAATAGATTTTTTTTTTTTTTCTTTCTCCTGGCAATCTGAGCCCAGTATTTGTTATTGAAGGATAGGACAACCAGGTCCACATATACATTCATGTCTTTTTGACAGTCTGTTCCACACTTTGTTATGTCTTTCCCCCAACTCTTTCAGAGAATTGGCCATTCTCACTGCTTTCCTAGATACACAATCTCATCTGAACCACATGCTTCTTTAAGTACAAGTTTGTCAAATGAAGCACAGCATACCACTGAGGTCTCATACTTGCTTCAAATAAATTGGAGTATTTCATTAATGTTTCCTAAAACGCTGAATGAAAGAAGACAAAGCAAAAAGTGCTATTTTCTTTAATTTTGCTAGGAAAAATTCACAAAGAAAAGGTACTGATCTGCAATGGCCACTTTGCACAATGGTACATCATGCAGTTTTAGCTCTAGGTAGGGTGTTATCAAACTAACTGTGAAGTAAGCATCATTGATCACCATTTTATCAAGATGAGATCTCTTACCTGGACGTTCCAATTTTATGTAGGCTGTAAATTGTTGAGAACCGTATATGAAGTGACAGAAAAATTTATGAGCATAATCCTTCACTTGCACTTTTGAAATGTTAAATTTTGTTCCAGATACAGCAAGTCCATGAGGCATCCCCTCTCTGTCATTAAAAAAAGGTAGAAAGAAAACATCTGTAGGGAAACTGAAGTATCAGGGATTAATATGAGATAGATTCATCTATCCACAAATAAAAGAGCATTCATTTTTTACTTCTATAAACCTAAGAAGCCATTGAAGCACAGTAAGTATCACCCCTGTAACAAACAGCTTCATGACCAGAGGTGATTTGACATTTTCCATACATGTGGGGTTGTTGGGGGTTTTTTTGCTGGGTTGGACAAAGTACACCATTAGAAGTTTTGCAGATGACACAGAACTCAAAACACCAGAAGGTCATGCTGCCCCGACTGGCTGGAGAAATGGGTTGACAGGAACCTCATGAAGTTCAACGCAAAATGCAAATCTTGCACCTGAGGAGGTATAATCAGTCCCCAGGCACCCTGGACTGCATTAAGAGCAGCACTGTCAGCAGGTTGAGGGAGATGACCCTTCCTCTCTACTCAGCACTGGCAAGGTCACACCTGGAGCAGGGGGCCAGCTCTATTGGTTCCCCAGTACAAGAGAGATGGGGATTTACCATACAGGACCATAAAAATTATTAAAGGAGCGAAACATCTGTCATATGAGAGAGCAGGGACTGTTCAGCCTTGGAGAAGAGCAGACTCTGGGGCAGGAGGTTGGATCTTATTGATGTGTGTAAATACCTGATGGGAGAGAGTGGAAAAAAGGGAGCCAGGCTCCTTTCAGTAGTGTCCACTGACAGGACAAGATAATGAACACAAACTGAAACACTTTCCCATCTGAAATTCCATCTGAACACTGTTTTTTACTGTCAGGGTGGTCAAACATTGGAACAGGTTGCCCAGAGAAGTTGTGAAGTCTCCACCTGTGGAGATATTCAAAACCCAGCTGGACACAGCCCTGAGCAACCTGCTCTGTCTGACCCTGCTTGAGCAAGGGGGTTAGACTAGGCAATCTCAAGAGGTCCCTTGCAACCCAAATGATTTTGTCAATGAAAGACTATTCAAACCATTAATAACTAGTAATAAAAGCGTCAAGAGAAAAATCGTCTTCCAGAATTCTTTATACTGATGATGAAGCCAAAACCTTTCTAGGCATACTAAAAGACTCCCTGAGCACAGTGTCCACAGTCAATGGCACCAACCAACACAAGAAATAACTATAAACAAAACTCACAAAAGATGGGCGACCCTCATGTTGAAAGACAACAAACATGGTGATAATGCCTTTATGTCCAATGTTTATTGCCACAAGAGGCTTGGGCATATACTATGCTATCCTGCTAAACACCATCACGCTCTAAAGATAGATTTTTACCAGTATAAGGTGGGAAGGGTTACAGTGAGAAGGTACCTACAAGCTGGTATCCTACTCTATATACCAAAGTGACATTACCTTATGTACTCAAGGAGTAAAACTCATTTTGCAGAACACCCTGAAGAGCTGGTTTCTATTACATAAGTAATTGCCAGCAACTTCTGACATAGGATACCAATGCAAACCCCATCATTTTACATGTTCAGATTTGTTCAAGTCAGTTTTAACTTTTCTCTCAGCAGAGAAAAGAGTTACCTCCTAGGGGTAAGCCCTCAAGTCCATAATGTTGGCCATTCCTAGTGTCCTTTGCTAATAGCAAATGCTTCACAAATTTAATTGCTGAGAAATTTCAACTATCTTTTGAAATAAAACATTATTATTGCAACTAGATTAATTTCACTGATACTGGATAACTTACTTTGAACTATTAATCCTAATTAGAACTTGCACAGGATGTATTTGCACATCTCCATCTCTGGCAAGGGGAGATTATCAGGCAAGATAGTGGTCAGAAATGGAAATCACTTCGAAGCAAGCCAAAAATCTAAACAGAGAATTGCTTCAAGTTAAATATATTAAATGCTTTTCAGGAAGAAGTGTTTAATAGCAGGACCAAGCTGATTTCAGAAGAAGCTGAAGTTATTATAACTTTAAACAGCTATACAGAGCTGCACATGTGTCTTATCTGGTAAAGCTGAGAAATTTCATGTCCTAAAGAATAATGGACTTAGTTGTGCCTTAAGCAATCATAAGACGGGGCCCTAATATTTATAGGCAAAACAACCAAGTATACGGATCTATAATGAAGGTAATAATTCCCCCTAAAGGAGCTTGGGGACAAAGTAGAACTAAGATCCCTTCAGGAGGCCAGACACAAATGAATTAAAACATCATTTTAAAAGCAGTGTGCAACCTAACTCTAGCCATATTTTGCACTGATGGTGGCACTTGGTGAAGACAGCAACACTTCTGCGTCAGCATGAACTGATCAGGTTTGGGTTTTTTTTTCCTTTCTTTGCACTACATTTTAAGGGTTATATTTAACAGCAGTGATTGATACAATGAAAAGCGAACAGTACATCCACACTCTGCTACAGCACAGACAGCCAACAAAGGTACTACTCTCTCAAAAGAATTGCTGGTTTTATCAGCTTGTATTTAAATTTTCTGACCATAAAAAATGCCCTAAAATATCCTGCAGCAAGAACTTCTGCTTTGTGTTCTTGAGCATTGGCAGCTGTGTCTGTACTTAGAAAAGGGCCAACTTCAAACAAAACCAAGTTGGGTGATCTTTTGTTTCCGAACAATCTATCCTTCCCATATTAATGACAGAGGGCAGGCTTTAGTGTATTAGTAGGAAGGATTGCATAAGAACAAATGCATAAATAAACCTTAAAAAATTATATGTTTCACAGCAGCATTATAAAAACCTACATACAACTGCTTCATTACATTTGTATCAGATACATCAGTATTTAAAAGTATTTATTGTTTTTCAAACCAAACAATAAGAATATAATGTACTTGATGAAGACTTCTAATCAGTCTTTTGGTGACTATTGACATTTGACTAGTAGTCAACTTTATGGTGAATTCACTGCAAATTACTGTAGATTACTTCACCTACAAATGCACTTACAATTCAATGTGTAAGAATACTTACTCATAAAACTGTTCCCTGTAGGTGCTATCAAAGCTATCGACATCCTCATCATTAACTTGCCAAAATGGAATCAAGCCATTTATGCCACTTGATATATTACATTCCATAACTACATGAGAGCCTACAAAAAAAAAATTTTAAACACAGCAATTGAAGGTCTTGTAACAGAAGCAGGATCATCAAGTGATATGGGAACAGCTGGGAAAAGGAGGGATATCAAAAAGCCCACTTACCTCATGAAAAGCAGAGTCCTTAAAACTCATCCATTTGTAATCCGCCCTTGGGTGTCTCCAATCTGAACATAAATTCTACTCTAAATGTAGGTGTCTAAATGTTCACATCTACAAGTAAGCTAGATGCCTAAGCTAGTAACAGAGTTCAGCTCTGCTGAAGTCCACTCACATTAAAGTAGGCACCTGGACCTTATCAACTGAATGGCTCTCCGGACTCCACTGACTCCACTGAAAGATCTCCAGGGCCCATATTAGTTGCATGTACACAGTATGGTGACATCTGAGATGCTCTCCAGCATCCAAGGCATCTGTATGGAGATGGCAGACAGGACTCGAACTTCCAAGAAACCTGCACTGCTAGAGTAGCCAGACCACCTAAAACGGCACTAGTCATCTGTGTGTAAGCAACTGAATTGAGCCCCCCCCCCCGATAATAGCATAAGTTAAAGATGCTAGCTCATATGCAGATACCCACATGTAGACAACTACACCCTGGAGCAGAATCCTATTCTTAGTGACCATGCATATCTTTACTCCAGATCAGTCTTTTGGCCAACACTGTCCACTGGGATGGTTTCTGAATACTCTCACACTCTGCTCCCAGAGCAAGATCAGCTGTCACTCAGCTCCTTTGCTACCCAGAGTCCACATCTTACAGAATACCTCAGTATTAAGAAAGCAAGCCAAGCTGCAGAATATATTTATGTACCTCAGAGAGCTCCATTTACAGGAATGTAAGCAGCTTTCTTGGAGTCCTTTCATTCTATATTTTACCTATTGAAGTTATGATTTGATAGGAGAAGGTAGGCTCTCTGTTCACCTATGTAAAGATCTCAGTGTTTCATTTCCTAGAAACACATCAGATTTAGATGCTTCCATCAAGGGATAGTCTCTATCAAAAGTATGGAATTAAACCTTTAGCTCACATGCAGAGCAGTTACTTGAAGAAGAATTCACATAGCAATCACGGAAGACATTGGGGACCTCTCTTCTGTCTTTTCATCACAATAATGAAGTTTTCTAAACATGTGGTTCAGTGCATTGCACAGCTCTTCAAAAGGAAAAGCTCTTCAAAACTCCTCGAGTGTTCCATGCCCTCCATTTTCATACATTCAGGAATGTACTGCTCAGTTTCTAAACATCCTTCTCCTGCCATATGTCATTCAAAAGGCACACAGGTGTTTCCAGGTTCTGCCCTACAGGCAGCCAAGCATTTAATAAGAGCAAAGATTTTTTTTTCCCAACATCCCATTAAAGGAACAGAGAATATTATTTTTGAATGGCAGTGCCTTTTTAAAAAGCAGAAAAAAAAACTTCACTAACTTCTTTTAAAGTGTCCCCCTCTAGTAAGGAATCATTTGTAGTTGTTCAGTAGCCACAATAAACCCACATTGTGGTGAAAGCTTTGTGTCTCCTTTTAGTCTCATATGTGACTGCTTTCCTAATGTCTATAAGGCAATCAAGGTTTTTTCATCTTAGCAGGTCTAAGGCATCCAATAATACATCAGCAGCTTTTAGTTAATGAGTGTCATAACAAATATGGACCAAATGCTATTCTAAAATAAGGAGTCTGAACAAGATGTCCCATAACACATCTTAATATAGTCTGAGTCACAGGCATCCCCTGGACTAATAATTGCTAAATTATCCATTTTCTCAGCAAGCACTATAAGGATTAAGGAAGTCCTATAGGATATCTTCAGTAAATTAAAGAGCCTCTAAAGGGCCTATGCAGATCAGGTTCCTTCTGAGTAGATGCTGCATTGGTAAGAATTTTTTCTGAATTAAATTGGAAGTCATAACTAATTACCAGTCAGAACTGGGGATGAGATTTACACATTTTAATGGGTGGGAGATGCAGTACAGGGAAGCCTCATAGTAATATTACTTTGTTTCTTCCACAGTTGCAATTACAAAGGAAAAGGGAAGTTTTCACACATAAAGATTAGGGTTGTGTAAGGTAAAACATGACCATGGGAAGTCTCCCTATTTCAGTCTAAAATCTGGTGAACAGATTTTCTTATTAGTGAAAGAGTATAAAGCAAGCTTTCAGGCATGTAGTTGTAATGAAGCCAGAGAAGATGTAATCACCAAAAAAGAAGAGGCTACTAAGCCATTTCAGAGTATTTCCAACAGAATTAAATAACCACCTAAAGACTGCAGGACTGTAAACCTATAAAATAATACTGTTTGTATCAGACCCTGAATATTCCCACTGTTGAAAACAAGACCTTCTGGACTTTGGAGGAACATAATTTCTATTAAAGCTCATTCATTATTCTAGTCAAAATCTACTGATCCTCACCAGAACCTGGCAGCTTCAGAATGAGATATCTTTCACAAGCTGTTGAGGTCAAAATGAAAAAAAAACACAAACAAACAAACAAAACACCAAAACAACTGCAACAAAAAACAGCCCCAAACAAACAAAACCACAAAACCCACCAGTATTTCAGTGTTGTTCACTTCAGTCTAATACCATATGCCCAAAGTTAGAATTTGGGCCAAAGTGTTTCACATGATGTGAAAAGAAGCATGAAGCCTCAACATGAGAAAAGAACACCTGATACATACAGTATTTACAAATTCAATGTCAGAAAAAGCAACAGCAAAAGTAGCTGTGTAACATGGGACTACCTTCAGTGTGACACACATAATAATCCACAAGGCTCTGGCCTCAGCTCCCATGCAGTGCCAGAGCCCCAGTGCAACCTTTCCTCAAAGCTTCCCTCATGAGCTAGCTGGTAATAAACCTTCCTCAAAAGATTACAAGACAGCTTGGATCCTGTACTGGGAAATTCTAGTAGACAATCACACCTCTCCAAAATCAGCTGATGCCCTTTTTAATCAAATATTTTGTTTGAAACAGTTCTCCTTGGTGAAAATGAGAACAAAAGTTACAGTTCAAGCAGCTCCAAAACTCATTCTTCTGGACTCCATTCTGGTGCAATCTAAACACATATAGGTTTGCTTAGAAAAAGACTTGTATACCATATACTTGCCCCATAGAATTGCAGAATAATTGAAGTTGGAAGGGTCTTTGTAAGATCTCTAGTCCAATTTCATGCTCAAAGCAGGGCCAGCTTTGAGGTCAGACCAGGCTGCTCAGAGCTTTATCCAGTCAGGTTCCGAAACCTCCAAGGATGAAGACTGCACACCTCTGGGCAGCCTGCTGCATTGCCTGTCTGTCCTCACTGGGAAGAAGTTATTCCTTCTATCTAGAATATTATTTAAGAGATTTCTAAGATAATATCTGGGATACCCATCAACTAGCAGCTCGCTGCTTCAGAGATCAGTATCTGAAATTTTTTAATCCCCTAGAATAAGGAATAAAATCCAGGTTGGGGAGAGGGAATGGAGACAGGAAACATACAGGAGGAGGAAAAACTACTGGTCAACTAGTAACCATCCTAACATGTTACATACATGTAACCATATTTCCGCAGGTACTGAGGATAGGTCAAGACACAGATACCGAGGAGTGGTACCAAGGACAGATGGCAACAGTAACAAAACCAAATGCATCCCACCCAACACTGCTGATCAAGAGACTCCAATCTTAGGCACACAGTTATTCTCACTCCAAACTACTCGTGGGAATCATGTTCTACCATCTGTCTTCCAGATAGACTCAATCCATGGGCCTGTTTCCCTTCTTCCTGAAGTCAGTGTAACTGTTCACATGTTATTTCAGAAAGACTAGGAACTTATTTGTTTTACTTATTTAGCTTATTTGAATGTTAATGGAGTCTTAAATAGTCACTACTTACCAAGTTCTACTTCAATTGTATTGTTCTTCGGATAAATAAACTCTGGTCTCATCTGCAGTGGTCCTTCTAACAGAAACGAAGAGAAAAAAAAAAACCTTCAGGCAAGAAGAGTTCCACAACATACATCAACTGATAGTTTTACAATGGTTTTATTGTTTGGGACTATTGTAGTGCCCTACTTACTACCAGTTTCAAACTTACAACAGAAAATATAAGATTTGCTCTACTCTACCCAAGTTACTCTATTTTAGCTTCCAAGTTAAAAAAGCGCTTTAGTTTACCTTAAAAATACTTTAGAAAAATAAAAATATCTCAAATTTACTTGCAGTTGATATTGAAGTAATACAAAATCAGAAAACAAAAACAAAACAAAAAAATATGATAAACCTTGTCAGAGAGATGGATAAGGAAGAGAAAGAGGGATTGTATCAATGACCACCTAGATCAAGTGAATATCTATTTAAGTAAAAGTAAACACACACACTTAAACTGGGCTGAAATTGTATCATTCTGCACAATATAGAGACTCACTGCTAACAACCCACTGTTCTTGTATCACCTCTTTAAAAATCAGAATTTTGATTTAATCTGTAAAGATGGACATTCTACCTAGAGCCAACTTTTCTGATAGGGCCACTATCATGGTACTGGTCAGGCTGTCAGCAATGCTGCCTACAAAGATGCAATCACAATAATCACAGCAATAAATTGCAGTACTGAGAGAGGGAAACGGCCAGTTCTGAGTCCTGTGTGCAGAAAAGCTTAAGCAAGTGCCAACAGTAAGCTAATCCTTTCCAGAGAAAGCCTGAACAACTTTGTAGTATTTATACAGCTTGTCACATCTCCTTTCCATTCAGTTGGTGTTTTGCTGTGGTCTCAGCAAAAATTAATCTTTTTTTATTTTAAATAATTTATGTAATGGTGCATTATTTGTTTTAGGAAAAACACCCCACACACACCCCCTAATAAGCACTGCCTCCTCCTAATTCTTATTCCTAAGCCCACATTTCTCATTTCACCATGATAGTTCTTCCTCAGAAGCAATGCTCAAGGGTAGCAATGTGCATTATCGTATTTTAACTTTACATTCAGGAAAAAATTAAAGATTTGCAACTCTAATTTCACAGAGCTGAAAAGTAACATGCCAAATAGCTTGTGTCTGCATACAAATATTTACAGCAGAGTCAAAAAGAGAATAACCTCAATGCACTCACCTTTAACCTCTAGACTCATGGTTCGTGAAACATTATATTGTTTTCCCATATATGTGTATACCATACGGCAGGTGTAGTTTCCTCCGTCTTGTAGAGTTACATTGTGAATCAAGACAGCATTTTCACCCTCTGCCAAAAGAAGTCGCTTGTCTTCAAGAAATCCAGGCTTACATTCCTAAATATATCAAAAGTACCTGTGATTTAAGGGAACTAATAATCTGATAAGTTACTGAACTCCAGTGATTATTAATACACTTGCAAAATACTGAATTTTTTTTTGAAAGCCACAATGTGGGTTCTTATCTCTCATCACTACACTCTAACATGAAGCTTGATGACATGAAGCTCATTATTAGACATGTAGCAGAGTTTCTGAGAATACATGACTGCATTCTTACTTCAGAGATGAATGAGAGCTGCTCTAGCAGTCCTTGTGCTATTGGGTGTATTACTGGTTTTGTGCCAATGCAAATACAGTGAAAAACTTCCTTCTCTCTTCCCTGACTGATAAGCAGTTTACAGAATCATAAAATCATCTAGATTGGAAAAGACCCTGAAGATCATCCAGTCCAACCATTAACCTCACACTGACAGTTCCCAACTACAGCACATCCCTCAGCACTATGTCAATCTGACTCTTAAAACACCTCCAGGGATGGGGACTCCACCTCCTCCCTGGGCAGCACATTCCAACGCCTCACAACCTGTTCTGTAAAGAAATGCTTCATAATATCCAGTCTAAACCTTCCCTGGTGCAACTTGAGGCAATTACCTCTTCTCCTATTGCTTATTACTTGGTTAAAGGCTCATCCCCAGCTCTCTGCAACCTCCTTTCAGGTAGCTGTAGAGGACGATGAGGTCTCCCCTCAGCCTCCTCTTCTCCAGACTAAACACCCCCAGTTCCCTCAGCCGCTCCTCGTACGACCTGTGCTCCAGACCCTGCACCAGCTTCGTTGCCCTTCTCTGGACACGCTCGAGTCATTCAATGTCCTTTTTGTAGTGAGGGGCCCAAAACTGAACACAGGAATTGAGGTGCGGCCTCACCAGTGCCGAGTACAGGGGTCAGATCCCTTCCCTGTCCCTGCTGGCCACGCTACTGCTGACACAAGCCAGGATGCCATTGGCCTTCTTGGCCACCTGGGCACATTGCTGGTTCCTGTTCAGCAGGCTGTCAATCAACCCCCCCAGGTCCCTCTCTGACTGGCAGCTCTCCAGCCACTCCTCCCCAAGCCTGTAGCGCTGCTGGGGGTTGTTGTGGCCCAAGGGCAGCCCCCGGCATTTGGCCTTATGGAAACTCCTCCAGTTGGCCTCAGCCCATGGCTCCAGCCTGTCCAGGTCTCTCTGCAGAGCCTCCCTACCCTCGAGCACATCAACACTCCCACCCAACTGGGTGTCATCTGCAAACTGACTGAGGGTGCACTCGATCCCCTCCTCTATATCATCAATAAAGATGTTAAACAGGAGTGGCCCCAAAACCGAGCCCTGGGGGACACCACTCGTGACTGTTTAACTCCATTCACCACAACTCTCTGGGCCCGGCCCTACAGTCAGTTTTTTACCCAGCAAAGTGTGTGCCCATCCAAGCCACGAGCAGCCAGTTTTGCCAGGAGAATGCTGTGGGAAAACAGTGTCAAAGGCCTTACTAAAGTCAAGGTAAACAATATCCACAGCCTTTCCCTCATCCAACAAGCAGGACGCCCTGTCGTAGGAGGAGATCAGGTTTGTCAAGCAGTACCTGTGTTTCATAAACCCATGCTGACTGGGCCTCATCATGTGGTTGTCCCATGTGTGTTGTATGATGGTGCTCAGGATGAGCTGCTCCATCAGCTTCCCGAGCACCAAAGTCAAGCTGACATGCCTGGAATTTCCCAGATCATCCTTCCAAACCTTCTCATAGATGGGCGTCACATCGGCCAATTTCCAATCTGTCAGGACCTCCCCAGTCAGCCAGGACTGCTGGGAAATAATGAAAGTGGCTTGGCAAGCACCCCAGCCAGCTCCTTCAGCACCCTCGGGTGTTCCCATCTGGTCCCACAGACTTGTGTGTGTCTATGTGATGCAGTAGGTCACTGACTGTCTCCTCCTGGATTGCAGGGAAATTGTTCTCCCAGTCTCTGTCTTCTGGTTGAGGAGGCTGGATTCCTCCAATAGTCTTGGTATTAAAGACTGAGGCAAAGAAGGCATTAAGGACCTCAGCCTTTTCCCCATCATTTGTTACCGTGTTTCCTCCTGCATCTAGCAGGGGATAGAGACTCTCCCTGGTCTTTCTTTTGCTGCTCACATACTTATAGAAACATTCCATGTTGTCCTTGATTGCTGAAGACAGATTAATTTCCAGCTGGGCTTTAGACCTCCTGACTTCCACCCTGCATAGCCTCACAGCATCTTTGCAATCAAAACCTTTAGAATCATTTAATCTCAAAAGATGTACAGCTACAGCGCCAAGGTTATTTTACATGTACAGGCCCATGTAGCTACTTCAATACCAGCATCAGATTTAAGATTTGAACTACTTTAGAATTTTACCTTAACATAGACAAACTACATGTTTCTAAGCTTGCATAGTCTACAGAGTATTTTGGCAGAATCAGAGCAAGCGGCAAAAAAATACCACACCATAATCAACAGACAGGACAAGCTTAATATTCTGTGAAATGGAAATAATTATGAAGACCCTTGCAATTAAGGAAACATCCAAGTTTTTAAACTTCTTATCTACATAAAATAATCAAAGGATAAACTAGATTTTCACACATCAACAAACCAAAACACGTGTTTTTGACTCTGGAAAAACTTGCAATCCATAAATGGACAGTTGTTTTTTTTAAAATATGCCTCCCATACCTCCTTATACCTCCCCAATAGAGTAGCAAGATAGGTGCCTTACTTAAATTGTAGAGAAAATAAACCTTCCCTTCCAAAAGCTGCTCTCCAAAGTTACTTCCTAACACATTTTAAATAGAGTATTTCAGAATATCCAAAATACATATGCAGAATACCTTATACCAGTGTACTTCAGGCTGATTATTGTCTTCATCTTTAAAATGTTCTAGATCAGGGCATATAATCTTTCCAGTATTTGTGCTCATCACTTTTTGTTCAAACTTCATTTTTCCATTAAAACACAAACCATTATCATTTTTAAAAACTGTTAAATTTATAGTTTTTTTGTTAGAGTGGTTGAGGCTCCTGTAATTAGAATAGCAGACAAGTCAGGTCATTAACAATAAAGTTCCTTGTTTACAGCAAGTCAGGAAGTTTACAGAGAGGGACTTCAGCATCTCCACCAGCCTTGCCTCTAACACCCCTGCTACAGCCCCCCTAGCCCTTAAACACCACCCTCAGCTCCTCACCCCCTGTTCCAGACCAAGAGATGGGAATAAGCTCTGATTTATTTTGTTGCAAGCAGAAGTGGGGTTCGCTCTGCAAGCAACAGAGGGGATGCCAGAACTGAGAAGTCCTGTGGAGCCCACAGCAGCAACCCAGCCTTGCCATTTTCAGCACTACATCTGCCAACACACAGTCGTTCCAGCTAATCCAAAACATATCTGCACTGGAACATCCTTGGTGCCAAATGAACAGAAGACAGGTTCACCTCAGTATTCCTTGGAGGGACATACCAAAAAAACCCAGATTGTAACTCTCAGAAGAAGAGAGACAGAGCTTTTGAATAACATATACATCAGGTGTGATATCAGTGTGAAACCACTTCACACCAAGAGCTCACACGAACCTGTGGTACAGTATCTCTGCAGAGGAGAGAGAGATGGCACTAGAAACCAGAAGCCTACACCAGGAGTAAAGGAACAGTCTCTATTAATTCATTGTTCAACTCTTCATTTCATAATGCTATGTTAAGGGAGAAGTTTCCAGAAAAGTAAACTGCATGTTTTGAGAGTCCTGTCTTCAACTTCTCTATACTGCACCTCGACAAGCTTTGTAATTAATGTTTAAGTGACTGATGCGCAAAATGTAGCCTACAGTTGACACAACTGAACTTTAGCAAGTTTTTTTTGTCCCGTTGACATTATGCAAGCCAGGGATACAAGGTACCTGCCCATGGGAACACATCTCTGGAGTAACTAGAAACATAGCAGAAAAGATTAAATTAAAATTCTTCAAAGCTACTCAGTTAAAAGGATTACATTTCTTCTAACTTTCAATTTTAGCTTCATTATTGACCCTGGAGCAAGAAGGTGCAAAGGCCTGTGACCACTGCCTACACTGGAAATTTCTGCTGATCACTGTTACTACACTGACAACCCAAATGCCTTCAGCGTAACTGGTGTACTGTATGCATAGCAGGACACATAACTAGTAACTACTAAAACAGATTTTGGGTCATGGGAGAAGCCAGCATTGGCTGTTCTCAGAGTACTGTGGCAAGACCACAAGGTAAAGAATAATTTCTGTGTTCAGTCTTAAAATTAATTTCCTGTTCAGCACACAGTGAATTTCAGCCATTATAAGTAAGATGTGACCACCTGAAGTGGTGAAATCCAGTGCACTAATCTGAGCTGTAAATATGCCAAGAGCTTTAAAGTATCAAAGAGCTGAAAAGAATCTATACTTTTTTTCAATCTTCTCAGATCTTTTAAACAGTACTGGGGATGCATTACTTTCACTGTCTCTAATGCTGTCTAGCACATTGCTTTGCTCTTCACGTGCATTCTTGTTCTTGACCAGTAACATTTGGTAATGTTTTAAAATAAAATGTAAGAATGTTTTTCTGACTTTTAATTTGTAAATTTCTAAATGATTCACAAAAAGTTGCTAAGTTCTCCAGAAAGTCTGTATGTGGTGATACTGGATAGCATGCAGTGTTTGCTCCTCTTAGATCCTTCTTCCATTTAACCACGTTCAATGATGAACCCAAAATGTTCTTCTGATTTGTCAGTATCAAACAGCAATCTGAACACAGGAAAAGCTGAAGCAGTTAAAGACTTTTCCCTATGACCTTAATGCTTCATCCAAAACAAACACAAAAAACCAACCCACACAGGATATCATGCTTTAAGATAAAAAGTCTTCCGTACGAACCACTTTTTCAATGCTACATGAGTGGAAGAAAAAAAAAAGGCAGCACACAGAAACAAAAAACATGGTCAAGACAGTACTTTTAACTGATCTAAGCCCTCTACCTAAACAAATTCTGTACACTCCAGTTCCAGGAATATATTATCACACTTGTAAGCATTAGCAACCTAGTTGTTTCCTCCTTCCCTCCTCCCTTCCTTACCTTACATCACATTCATAAAGTCCAGCATCTTCCAGTGTTGCAGGAATAAACCAAAGCAAGCCCTCTCGTTGATGGATCCTGGCATCTCTCTCTGTGGTTACTGGTGTAGCACTGCCGTTTTTATACCACGTCAGATTGTAACCAGAGTGAAGCACTGGCAATGTAATTATTGGACAACTAACAGCTATAGGCTCTCCAACAAGCACAAAGTAATCACAAATAATGCATTCTTCTATTAAAAAAAAAAGAAAAAAGATTAAAAAATGCTTTTAATCTGTATACTTTTATGTTTTAGAAGTATTAATATCCATTCCAAGTTACACAAAATTAGAAAATAAACTTTCTGTAACAATTTACCATTAAAACATCACAAGGCTACTATTTTTTGTTTGGTTAGCACCTTCTAGTTGAGGACCTAAAACACATGCTTTACAAAGCTAAAGTGACAACATCCTTCTATTAAGGCAGTCAGCAAGAAGCACATGTAAGTCCAATGGCCTCAGTGCAAACCAGGGTGTAAGAAGATACATGGGATTCACCAGGCAACACAAGCTTCACAACTTGCCTGTCATGTCCTTCTTATTTAAGCATGTTAGTACTTTTGCAGAATTACCAGATACTTAATTAAATACTATCTACAAATAGCATGGCACAGACAGTAGCAGTGCAGAGCTCCTCACAGTACTCTGGCCATTATGACTGTGTGGCCAAAAACAAACTAGGAAAAAAAAAAAGGGGAGGGGGGAAAAGATCTCTTTTGACCTGAAGCACAAGGTGGTATGGAAAGAGATCAAGACCTCAACACATGAAAGAAGTTGGTGAACCAACATGTCATAATACAAAGGACATTTGGAGAGGCACAGTATTTAGATTAAGAAGTCTTGACTATAACTTATTATTTCCTTACTACATTTGCAGTTTCCGTCATTCTTATCCAGAATGCCCTTTAATTTATCAACATTATTCTGGACATCACATAAAAGGTGAGCATAAACAGAATTATGGCTGTGTAACATGTTGACAAGACACAATCATGCAGCCTAGCAAGCAAGTTTTTTAAACATCAGCCAAAACAATACCAGAGAAAGGACAGATACTGCAAGAAGTCATCAATAACCCAAATCTGCAAGTGAAAACTACTTAGAGAATACCAGTTTAGCATGAAGAGAAGAGGCCATGTGGCTATAAAGCAGACTTTAAATGCTTCCAAACTTTTGCATACATGCGCAAGACTGAATTTCTATGAAACTGCAAAATGACTGATTTTACAGATCTTCCTGAACAACTGTATAAATACAAAGCTAATGTATTCAATTATAAAAAAGTCTTCAGTAATCTTTCCAGACCCAACATCTTCCTATCATCTAATTTAAAGATTTCCAAGTAGGTCCCTATGGAACTTAAACTAATCCAGAGACATTAATATTAGACTGCTTATGCCGAGAGCAGCAAGACAAGTATCATTAATTAATGTAGTTCTAAACTTTACTGAAAAATTAGATCTATCATTAAAAATATTACTAACTAATTGTAAAGAAAAAGCCCTACTCCAGGCCTTTCAGGATGTCTCAAAGAAGGCATTCAACAGCTAAATCAAGGAAGGCAATCTCTTTGGACATTTTTCATAGGAATCAGGGAGCAGCTAATCAAAGCTTCAGTACCCTAAATATTTTTAAATCTAGCCACATAAATTTATGTCAATTTATCCATTCCATCCCCAGTGCAACTTCAGTCCAAGAAAAGGCACTCAGCATATCTTCAATATGCTGAAGCAAAACCAAACCCCAAACCCACTATTTGCTCTCAGTAACTCCTTTCTACTAAAACCACACAATTCATCTCTTGAAGGATTTCTTTTCTAAAATGGCAATTTCAGCAATGTATTTAACTTACCAGCATTGAACAGAGGTGTCAGTAGAATGAGATGACCAATGAGCAAAAATATAGATGTCATCTTTTGCTGCAAAGAATAATTTTTTTTCCATTAGTGCAGTAAGAGCGTTCAAGCTGCACTGTCCTCTATACCCTGCACTACTCCTTAAAAAAAAATCAGAAGCATTACTCATCTTGGGGAGTGGAAAAGTGAGCTCTTCAGAGCCCCAGCCTCTGAAGATTTCAATTGCAGCAACTGTTGGCCTCCACAGAAGGCTGCTCAGTTTTCAGCTTTCTACAGGAATAACTCTTGCATAAAGCGTAACTTTCTTCTGCTAGCATAGTTAATGAAAGAAAGAAAAAAACAACCCTCCAGCACAGAAAATTATGCTAGCATACAGTGACTTAAGCTATACCATGTAATTTTGAAACCAGGCTTGAATAAGCTACTCCTCCTTCCACATGTTTACGAGAGACACAATCACAAGATGTATGAGGTTTCATTCTTTGAACTGTTCTTGTACAGTTAGGCAGCAATGCTTTTAAGAGCAGATGAATTCGTAGTTCTTTGCAGGACAAGCACACTGTAACTCCTGCGTGATGTAGCAGTTAAATTGGTGTCTAAAAGCCAAAGGTGTGGAAACCACAGCTAATTGAATTGCTGTGGTCAGACACAAAACAAAGTGTTCAAGATTTGTAGTTTCACTTCACACCTCAGGTCTTTGCAGCTTTCTCCAACAAAGGCATGACTGAACAGACACTCACTGCTCTCATGGCCCACAAGTAGCTTCCATGAAACCTCTCCACCTTAACCAAGTCCTGCCTCCCCCTCAGATTCACCTGCTTTTTCTTGACAAGATGTCATCAGAGCACTTCTCAAGCCTTCTACTGCCAGCCAGATGGCAAACACAACCACCTTCTCTTCTGACAGATCCTTGTAGGTTAAGGTCTGAATTTAGCTGTCTTGCCTTTCCTCAGTTCCTGATTATTTTCCATGCTGCTGCTTCTCACTCTAAAGCAATCTGGTCTCCCACACAGCAGTCTGTTGCAAAACATTCACTGCAAAGGTCCTAGTTTATATTTGCCTTCAGCCCAGCTAGAAACTAGAAGAGATGGCATTCCCTGAAAAAAACACATGGCCTTGACTTATTTTTATATACAATATAGTTCACTTTAGTGACAAATAAGCCATACCAGCTCCATCTTTGGAAACATTTCATGTGCAAAGTGTTGGGGTAGTAGGGAGGGACACACAGAGCAGAGTTCAACACTTTAATATAAAAGCCTCCAAGTATGTACTTCTTTTGGACAGTTTATCTGACAAAACTCTCATACCATAGTCTTTATTTAGTTGCCTTGTATGTGGTTTTCCTGTAACTTGCCAATAAGCTTATCATTCTTGGAGTTTCAGTTTGCCTGTAAAGAGTAGAGAAGAGGGTGGAGAAGGGAAAAAGGATTTTATAAAACACATCACTTGGACAGCAGCATAGATACATTTCTACAGACATCCTAAAATTTTCTACAGACATCCTAAATGTAAGAGCAAGAGCATTCCTCTGCCTACACCAGATATATGACTTCAAACAAAAGGGCAACAACAAACTTGCAGTTAAAGACTGACAGAGAATTCTAGCAGAGAGATTTGGAAAATGAAGTCCCTGTCAAAAACATTGTAACATTACATAGGTATCAAGCAAACAACAAAACTAGACCTAAGTAGCCACTTTGCAAGATAGATTTAACCCCCAAAAGGAAACAAAGAATGATTTAGGGCAAGGTAAGAATAACTAAGCAATCCAGCAAGTTAAGCTTTACATTTTGTACCCAGTACTCGTCTCCTGTACCAAAGGTAGATGTCTTTCTAATATTGTATGCTAAAGCTCAGCTTTTTTGAAGTTCTATTCTTTCAAAATTCACACACACAACCCCACCCCTTTCAAATATTGCAGTGGTAAAGCTTAAAAATTCTGGAAATAAGAGAAGTCTCTAGCTTTTGTAGTTGGAGTACCTCACAGTATATGGAGCATTTCTATTCTGGCCAATACAACTTCAAGAGACCACAGAAGATTCTTACACTTTTTCTTAAGCAGAATATACAGAGAAACACTACCCAAAAATCCACAAATGCGAAACAGCAAACTTTGTTTAAAAAGTAGATGTTTGTTCACGTACCTAATTACTTTAGCCTTGTAATGCCTGATATCCCACTCTAAGCAATATGAAATGCCCCTGTGATACAACCACAGAAGTTCAAAGATCTCACTGATGTAGAGGGAATGGCAATTTCATTGATAACACTATCTGCATACTTAGTTTGGAAAACTATTTCAGCTCAGAGCTTGCTGGGCTCAAAGGAAAAATGTATGTGAAGTCTTTTGAAATAAGAAAAAAAAAAACAAACCAAAAACCACAACAAAAAAACAAAACCCCAGACCACCAAGCAATCATGCTTGTGGTTCTATCTACTAAAAAATAAAAGGTTTGATTTCCAAGTTACTTTCCAGTATTTATCTTCTCATAGTTAAAACACAACTTACTACTGCTCCTTCAAATTTCTAAAATTACCATCTTGAAAACAGAAATAGAAAACATGGACCTTATTTAAGATATGAACATTGTGTTCTTTTCAGGATGTCTGTCTTCACAGAACCTGTCCTCTTACTTGCCTTAGGCACACTGCCAACTTTAAATGCCCTAAGAAGAGGTTTAGAGACATACTGGTCCCTAAGTCTCCACGCAGTGGAATTAGTAAACTAGTCCTTCAGGAAGCTGTGCAAAAACATGTAGCTGTATCTTTGTTTTCTGAATTTTCTGTCTCCAATTTTTAAAATATTTTACTTGCAATTGTTATAAATGGTATGGATATGGCACATCCTTGCAAAGGCCAACACAATGAAAAAACGCTCAAGACAGCAGCATAGAAAGCATCTAGGCCCCTCAATTGCCTATCTGCATGTCACTTTTAATTTAAGTGGCTTTCAATGTTGATCACTGTCTATGGGGACTCATTACAGCAAGGGCAACCAACAGATCCTTAGCCTTTTGAGCCCTACAGAAGAATACAGAAACTGTGGTTCAAAGGCAACTAACTCCTTATCATCTCCACAAACAACAAGATAGCATAGAGGTGTAAAGTGTCCCAATTTAGTGGCATACCTATATGAAAGAACTGCATTAACTTTTGAAGTAAAACTTTAATACAGTTTGATTGAAATGGAGTGGAGAATGTGGAGAACCAAACCTATGTATGGCCAGTTGCTCCAAAGTTCAGCCACCAAGACAAGATTCAGCTCACTACAGTTCATACAGTTCACATTTTGTCCCCTGTTGTGTTCACTCCTGTCAACAGGAGTAAGCTGTTAAGCAACCTACCGGGGTTAAACCCCGACAACAAAGCAAGGTAAAACTTCTAACAGACTAGGACCTCATTTGCAGTCTACCACTTCCCTGAGGCCCCAACTTTCCTGTCTAACATAACAAATACATAAACAAAATGCAGCTATTATTTTACAGGGGCATGCATGAATGCTGTCACACAAAGGGATGCACAAGCACCCTCTAGAAGTGGATCTGGTTATCCACTGTGGCATTCCAACACTGAAATGATGACCACAAACTTTAGTCCTTAAATGCCTCCTTTCCAGACAATCCTGCAGTTGCAGGACTACAGAAAATTCATACCTTTAAGGGAAGTCCATTATTCAAGACATTCTGTTGAAGACACAACAAAATGAAGTCACAGATATCAAATAATATTCACAAAGAAGACTGCAATAGGTAAATTGTATAAGCTAAATTCCAGTTCAACTTTGAGACAAAGTATTAACCACTCTAAATCTCAACAAGGGGTTTATTGCAGGTACTGCCTCAACTTTCACCAAAGCATGGGAGGAAGAAAGAAAAAATTCGAGTACAGTACTGTGAAGAGCTACCTGTTCACCCACTTCCACCTCACATCAAACAGGAGGCAATGAGAGCATCCAAATCACCTTGAAATGAGCGATCTTATCAGTATTTAAATCAATTGGAAACAGTACCTCCTTTCAGCATCAGTTGGAACGAGCTCATTTTGCAATCAGCACTTTAAAGAATTTTCTATGTCATTTCAACTCCTGATACCTGTCAATATAAAGTAATGCAGATTTTAATGCAGAATATTTCTTATTTAAGTCAAAAATTCTTACTTTTCCACTAACATTTTCAAAGTACAGTTAAAGAGTTAAAGAGGCATTTGAAAGGTTCAGAAGGGCTCATGCAGATAAAACTGTATGTATCAAAAATACACTGATGCAAAGTATTAAAAAATTCATGTATTACTCGATGGGGGGGGAGGGAAGGGGGAAATCTTACAAAGAAAAAGTAATTGGTATTTCTCATTTAATAATTAATTTAAAATATGTGAATTAAGGATTCTGCATTAAAAAATAGTTTTTGTACAAGAGTTTTATGCCAATTTCTCAGCTTTTCCAGCACTCCAATTTCACAATCTATATGAAAGGCAAGAGTGTTCGTTTAGCAACTCCAGCCTGATTTTGGAAAATCCAAGCACGTACAAAAGGTCCAAGCCAAACAAGCGTGCAGTGGCCAAGTTTATGAAGAAGAAAAACAAAACACATCCAGCATTTTGCTCGAGTCCCTGATGAAAACTCTCCAAACTTAAAAGCTGCTGCTGAAAACAAACCGGAGCCTTGATTCACCTCAGTAGCTTTTTGGGTAGCTCGCTCCCTCCGACCAAGCTGCAGCTGCCCGGGTCCGGGGCTGCCAGCGCAGCTCCTCGCTAGGTTTGCTACTGATTTTTGCAGCCAGCTCTTTAATCCTTTTACAAAGGGTTAAAAAAGTGGTCCTGTTGATCATGGTTATGCAATAAATAGTTGCTGTAGTGTTTTACCGGCTTAAGAGTATTTATGGCAAGGTTTATCCTGCTTCCTGTTACAAGTACTTTAAAAAATGTGACAGCGTTCAGCACTCTTAAAATTTTCATTTTCATACCGTACTTCCTACCTGGGTTTGTATAACGCGATACACAGCGAGGAAGCGGGCACGAACACAAAATTAAAAATTACTCCGAGGAAGCTGTTTGGGGCCACTAAAAGCTGGTAAACCAGCAGCCACGAGCAGGAGTAGAGGCATCATGCAACCACACCGCGCATCAAAACGGCCCCCAAACACGCCCGAAATTACCCCAAAACAAGCCTGAAATTAATAGAAATCGATGGGTTTGGGTTTTTGGAAGCCACCAGCGCTGCTGACTGCCTGCCGAGGAGCCGCTGCCCGCTTTGGCCGCAGCCCGCGGTCGCCCCGAT